CGGTTTGGTTGTGACGAGAACGTTTACAGCTACTTTTGGTTATTATCCTTTTCATCAATGCGTTCTTCAAATGGAACTGTTCAACAGTGATTGGGAATTTTTGCTGGCATTACTTACCACTTTGTGCAGATCACATTCCACACACCCCACTCAGTCACCACTCAAGTCTCACATCCGCATTTTCAGTTAACTTCAGCAGATGATTTGTCAGTGAGCAATCAAGTATCGCAAGCACTGCTTTTAACCGACATCACTTCCTTCATTACCATTGTCTTGTTTCGTGCTCAAGTGATCATCACTTATCGTTAGATCAGAACACATTTCGCACTGCCACAATCTGCAGTGATTTTGCATGACTCTCAAAAGCTATTCGTGGTCAGAGTACATCCATTTTTTCAAATTCATCCTCAATAAAAACTTGATATGCAGGAAGAGGAAAAGGCTCGTTCTAGCAGTATGATGCAAATTTGTTGTGAATAGTAAATAAATTTCGATGACATACAGTGTGAATAAAAAGAGTGATAGTTTTGGTTGTGAATAAGAAATGTGATCCTATTCAATCCATTCTTTCTGAGACAATTTGTAATATGATCGATTATATTAGCAAATTCAACAGTGCTCATACATATTTCCACACCATTGGGCGGTAGTAATTCTACTGAAAAAGGCCACTGATCGTAAGTTCTTTAAGAATATGTTCCTAGCTCAAGGGTATTCAAATTTTCTTCGAGCAACATCAGGTACGAAGTGTCAGTGAATTTCTTCTATAAGCATTCCTTGATTGCTGACTCTTATGAGCCGGTGGTGGCGATGGCAGTTGCTTCATTAGAGGCGATATTGGTAATTTACGTAATTGGTCAGTATATGACCATTGGCCAATTGCACAGTTCTGGTCGGCATTATTCACGTTCATTGTGCTCTTCGATGGAATGCACAAACTCCAATCATGATCCAGGCTCTGCCGTTTATGGCATAACACAGCAATGTGTGATATATTTCGTCCGACTGCAAAATATCCGATCCGATTTCGATCGAATTCTGCAGATAATGAACCAGGCTTCAGGATCATTCGACTGTTCGACGGCAGCCGTACAAATTCGGTCAAATAAGCCAGAATTCACGATTATCGACACGGCGAATGATCGCTTAATAGAGCCGAGTTGCTACTGGCTGAATCACAATGGGATATTTTTGTGTAAGATACGAATGCTCCCTAAAGATGTACGACATATGAGCGGGCATCATTGCTATCTGCAGACGTACAAGTATAGTGCTGATTCGGATTCAATACAGTTGAACTGTACACAGATCAATCGTAAATTCAAATGTGATATTAAATCGGGGCGATGTAAAGCACATGCCGCTTTTAAAGGCACTATCGATACGAGTTTGTCGACTTGTATCGATGAAAAGCATTCGACGCGTAAATTCTTGCAACAACCAAGCAACAATCGTTCTCAGGCAACCTGTTTGTTTGCGTTGAACGTTCACAACTCGAATTCAAATGCACATTTATTGACCGATCAAAACTTCACTGACACGATCATCAACAACATTCAGCTACGCATCCAGCAATCCAAAAGTGTGCCATTACTCTACGATGGTGATGCTTTGTCGTTGGTTCTTTTCATGAGACGACGGCAAATCGAAGAGAAAAGATTGTGGAAAGGTGCGTCTTCAAATTCAGCACTAAAAATCACCAACTTGTTCTATTTTTGTTTCGTGATTGCCATTTATTTATGCCTATTTCACATTCTGTACGTGTTGTTCGTGAGATGGAATCTGAGACTGTATCGTCGTCATTAGCATTCGCTAGTGTTTTTTGCAGTTAGTTCTCGTTTGTACAGTCAGTTTGTGTGACATTTGCGATTAGATATTTGCGTTTATCAGTTCGAAAGAGGACTGATATGACGTACTGAAATGATTTCATTCCATTGTGAACATTTGAAATTGTGCGATTAAGAGTAATTTCCAGTTTGTATACGTGAATTTGCCAGTGAGTGTATTGTACTGATTTGAGATGGTGCTTGTTCATGCCATGATTCATTACGTTGATAAAATCTTGACGCATATCTGTGCCGATGAGCATGTGATCATTAAAGATATGTTTTGAAACTAAATTTTGAAAGAAATCACTGAATTCAAATGAGCCTCAGAGAACTGTGATCAGTTGAATGTCTATCTTGAAAGACGACTATCATATGGTGATGATCAATTGCTGCAACTTTAAGATAACATTGATTTAAATAGCCGAAGTTAGAGGTGCAAAAAAGTTTCAAAGATACATTCCACTTCATTCAGATGGACTGACTGCTTAATGTAGTGACAATCAATCACTCCACTAACGATCACTACATTACAACTTAATAAAATTTGCTGGAGCCGTTTATTATCGACTGATTTCCCGAAGATCCATGAGAGGTTCACAATGAATTTGCATGTAAGTCCTGAATTCGTTTCACGAATCTACCAGTGACTTGAACGGTTCTATTGAAAAAATGTAGCGGATTTCTATAACTCGTGTACGAAATTAAGTTAGGAGTATTTTATTCAGATACTTTAGGAATAAATCAATTATCAATCAAAAGTGACAATAATGATAAGTATGAAATAATGAAGGCATTCCACTCGCATGGATGAACACTCGATTCAATGAACATTTCTTCAGCACACTCAGTTCACTCCCAACTCAGATGTTTGATCCGATAACACAAAGTCATTATCATTCAGGCTAACGATAAGGCTAGCACAAAACAATCGTAATCTAGCAAACAAACGAACTCGTAGAATACGAGGAAGATCCACGCGACGAATTGTGAACAATAGTTTCCAGTAAAAAATCTCATAGTTTGGCGATGGCTGAGAATATCCTTAATCGAATACACTCAATTGCTCATCCCAAACTAGACGATAAGTATATACTGTGGCAGTGAAATTGTCGACAGTAAAGATGCCTTAAATTTCTCGATGTACCCCGCGATTTTCATCATTTCACCAAAACTTCACGATTGTGAATTTTTATTCGAAATGCATTCTCCGATTGACTGGCCATGTCGCCTTCATCTGTAATAGGTTAACAGTTGAGTTATTGTTATAGGTTAACAGTTGAGTTACTGTTATAGGTTAACAGTCGATTTACTGTTCTCTGCTACATGAAGAGTAGTGTTCAAGGGAAAGATATAGTGCTCAGATAAATGTGTTCTGAATTTGAAAGGAGGAAATAAGGCAAGGTGACTGATGTGCAAGTGATGCTCTTACTGTGGAAGCATTCCACTTCATTCAGACGGATTGACAGCTTAATTCAGTCTACAAAATACGAATGCTATTCAACGACAAAATTTGCTTGAACATTTTTCTGTCTCAAAATTACGAGGAACAACCTTTAGAATCCTATACACATGAAATAGAAGTTCAAGGGTTCCTCGAAAGCAGTTAGAATGATAACTTTGGAGAAGGATTTCAAAAAAATTGTTGTGAGTACGATATCAAAAATGAAAAGCCAGAAGATCGTGCAAAATGATCTGGGTGATATTGTGCAAATCAGTGGTGATCGAGTGAATAGGTAAGTGATCAATTTGAAAGCGAGGAAAGGATATGAGCACGAGGGGAGTTATAGCGGCTAAATGGATTTATGCTAAGAATCTAGCATTTTATATTACACAACACAATTCTTCTATTCTATCGATCTAGAACCGAAAACACTTCATCAACATTTTAAAAGGGGAATATTTCATACTTCTAGGCATTTCGTATAGAGAAAAGGCATTACTGGACAGAAATTGAGACTGAAATTTTAGTTACGTTCCCGTTGTGGAAACAGCATAATTGATTGCAATCACATAACTGAATGTGACTGGAAAAATTGATCTAAGGAATGCATTTACCGTCGGTTCGATTGTCGCGAACAATCATTTGTAGTCGTTTGTTTTCATACTCTGGTCTCCAAAAGAATAAATCCTCATCCGGATCATTGTAATCTTCTTTCATATCTGAATGCAAACTGGTCGTATTCTCCCTACTTCCGTTTGAGTCTTCTCGATCCTCCCCTGTTAATTCACCATGCTTCATGTGCATGCTTCCGTTGTGCAGTTTAAGTGTTTCATCCGGACTATGTTCTAAGATGATGAGATCACCCTGTTCCGCAACATTAACTGGAACCGAGGTTGAAGCGATTGCGGTAGATGTTGTCCTTTCTGCAATTGTTGCGTAGGATTCGTCTATTTTGTTTACATCCAAGTTCGAGTTGGAGGTGAAATTATACGCTCGAATTGATTCAGATGACCCAGTGGTCGACGATGTCGTTATTTTGTTTTGTGACCAGTCAGAATCCTGTTGTTTGTTCGACTCATGCGTTTTTTGATGAGGTGGAGACAGCGTGATGATTTCAAGCGATGCATTGTTGCTTTCACCCACCGTGAGATGATCATCTAGAAGAGAAACATTAGGAAGGTACCCGAAGTAGGGTTCCAGTTGCGGATCGGGACTTGTCACGAGAACTTTCCCATCATGCTGGTTGCTTATGATCATCGTTCGGTCTGAAATATGCTGAAAATGTGATTGCATAAGGGAGGCGGAATGCAGCAAATCGCCTGCGAAGCAATCATTGATAGGATGTTGCTTTTGGACTTGTGTAAGAGAACAGGATGAAGCATCTTGAAAGCAATAGCGGAAAAGCGTGATCGTGCATACGCATTCAGCGATCACCGTTACAAGAAGTGAACGAAGCCGAGCAATAATAAACTTGGATATCTAATGGCAATCGAAATCAAAAGTTTCGATCAATCAACATCTCAGGTCAAATACTTACTATTCTGGTTATTCGTTATCCGTTTCCCGTATTCGTCAACGTCGTACTCCTCTTCGATCATCTCATTCTCATCATCGTAATCATCCAAGGATATGATTTGTTTGCCCACATTCATCGGTTCCTCTTTTTTCTGTGCGCTAATTATGTGCTCGCTGATGATTTCGCCTTCCTCATCTTGCATCACTTTTTCGGCACTTTTTTTCACATCTCCGTTTAGCTTTCCGCTCGCTTCTGAAGTTGACATCCTTTGTGTAGCACCTGACAAACCAGGTGATCGATTTCGATTACTGAAAGTTGACCAACTGTGATCGGTTTTCGAGTGACCCAGAATTCGATCAGAATCCATTTCCAAACGCTGACGGATTGGCGCTGGCGTTGTTGTTGTTGTTGCGATAATCGAAACCGTTGTTGGAACTGTACTTGAACTCGTTCTTAGAGATGGTGCGGGAGTGGCCTTCGTCGTTTCGTCATAATCCACCTCGGACGATGACGCCAGTCCCATCATACGCTCCAACTTTTTCAAATTCTCAAGGCGTGCTCGTTTCCGTGCTTTCGTTAACGCACGTCTTATCTCGTCTTCAGTCCGCCTGTCTTCGCTGTCACCAGATGGTCGTGGCATTGGGATGGACATCTTAGTGGTTGTAGTTGTTGCTGTCGTTGTCGTTGTTGTTGTTGTTGTTGTTGTTGTTGGTGTTGGTGGTGTTGTTGTCGGTAAGGGTTGATGTACATGAATATGTTGCTTCAAGTAAGATCGTTGGCTATCGCTGTCCA